TGACACCAGGGTCCTTGCTGCCTCCAGCCCCAACCCCGCATCCACGAGCCCCAGCATCACTCCCCATAGAGTCTGGTGACCACAGCTGCTGGAGTCAGCCACCACCCAGCTCACCGCGAATCCCAGCATCACGTTCAGTGACTGCAACCATCCGGACACCAGGCTGCTGCACACTTGTAGGATGCCGTACTGGGGCTACAAAACCCTGTTGCTAATAGCAGCATAGCACAAAATCAGAGTCTAGCAGGACATGATTTATTGCTTGATGGTGCCTTCCAAACGCCCACCAGTGTTTTGAAAATATCAGGCTCCACGTAGAATATAATTTTTTTAAAAATAATGGAAGCTTTGTTCCTTTCATCATATAATATCTAATGTTTTTTCCTCCAGTCAAAGTTCCTTTCTGGTCTTGGACTTTTTCAGCTTGCAGCAACGAGCATTTGATAATAATAATCACTGGAGAGCTTGGAACCTGGTTTCACAAAATGTCCTCAATCTTAGTTTGTGAAGGAAGAAAAGATATGCAGAATTAGCCATGTTTTTTCAGTCAGCAAGGATGGTGTGTGCATACTGCTTTCCAGATGGAAAAGCAAAAGCATGATTCCTTGCCTGAACTTTATACAATATAGATAAAGGCGAGTGCTTTCATGAAATACATTCAAGATGACTGTGAGGTAATTTGAGTCCTGTGCCTCTGAAATGACTTGATGGACTACAGTAAGGTGTGGCATTAGGGTGAAGGCCTATTGCATACACAAGGGATTAACTAAATCTGAATATACTTCTTGCTCTCTTGCTGTATGATGTCTTGAGTATCCCAGAAAGCTTGGGTTAACCCTTCTGTGGATGGAGCCAAGCAGTTGTATTCACAAGGGCAAACTGCTGTGGTGCAACATGTGCCCATGAAGCGATACTCAGGAGGGAGATCATTTTACAAGGCCACACTGATGCCAAGTATTGCAGAGAGGTTCCAAGTGTGGCTTGCAGCAGGCTTTAGGCAGGCTTGGTACGCAGAGCAGGGTGCAGCTGGGTGCTCTGTAGGGTGCCCAGGAAAGGTGCTTTGAGCGGGCCAGAGTGTCATGGCCCTGACGGGAGACAAGTGGCTGTCTGAGCAGCTGTGGGGGCCAGACAGGGTGCCCCAGGGCACCCAAAATACACCCAGTTACTGCTTGTTGAGTCATTACCCCACTTCCATTAGCTTTTAATGCTTAGGTGCCTATCCTGTTTGTATCTTCAGCAGCCCTGCTCCAGCCTAGGCTTGAAGGGCAACCCTGCTGCCTTGCCTGTGGTGCAGACCACCCTGGCAGCCCTGTTTAGCCAAGTTGCCCCTCCAGCA